TTATCATCCCATGCAAAAAATAGGTCATTTGTAGCATTGGTGATGGTTTCAATTTTAATTCTGTTAATCAATTTATTACATCAAGTTTACAATTGTTTGTACTATCCTATAATGATGATGGCATGTGTTTATATTAAAGCATTCTTTTAATTAAAAATTTTTATGTTAATTGATCAGTTTAGTGTTGTATGGCAAATTATATGGTAGGCCTATTAATTATTTATCTGATTAAATTTAAGTTTTCCAAACTATATAGTAATAATTACCATATTTTTGCAGATTGTTTGGTATGTTGGTCTATCTGGAAAGACCATGAAATCATATATATCCATATGGTAAAAACCTGCATGCCAGTTTAAGTGAGATTATGCATCCCTTTCCAGAGGGCACATGAAACTCACAGATGCTAGTTTTCATTCTAAAATTGTGAAACTGTCAGCATTACGTCAAAAAGTACGATTATATGTTTAATTTCTGCATTTTGTCTTCTTTTTAATGATGTAAAATACTCATGGAATTCACTACGACTAACATTGGGAACTAATCAAACATCTTTACTATACCCAATACGATTAAAGCTATCCATCAACCAAAGCCGATTATTATTGAGCTAGAAACGGCTATAAATAAAATTTATAATTATTAAATTTATCAAGAGCTGGATGGTGCTTAACACCTAACTCTAATGCCAAATTGTCTATTAAATTATTAGTATTATAGCCATTTCTAGCTCAATAATATTCAGCTTTGGTTGATGGATAACATTGAGAACATCTATATTATGAGTGGATGGGCACAAATCTTCATATTTTTTAGCTGTAAAGATGTCTATTCATGGAATGCTGAAAGTGACTTTTTTTGTGTTTATTTTATTGTAACTTGATCCAAAAATACAAAAATGAACATATCAAGTTTCAGAATCTCTGAATTATCTCAACTTATGCCAATTAATTTCTGCTTTGTGTGAAATTTGAGAGAATGGTGTTATCTTTCAGAGTCAAAGTAGACTGACAGTGCAGGCTACACTAACTACTAGCATTACTAATTTCAATAAGAGGCTAATTGTTTTATTGCTCTGTAAACAAAAACTCTCTTCTGTCAGTCAAATTAAAATGTTGTTATTTTATTGTACTCAGAAGAATATTTTCTTTAGCAAAAGAAAAGTTAGTTTTGTTACATCTGATTAATTTTATTTTTTAGTCACAGTAGATAATTTCTGTTTATTTACTTATTTTATATATAGTAGGAAATGTGAAGAGACAATAGATTTCCACCTCCAAATAACAAGAAAATACCAAAAATGATTAAAAAATACATACATTAAACAATAAATATATAAAAAAATTATATATATGTAGATAAGACAGACATATAGAAGTAGACATAAAGAAGAGTAAAAGGAGATAATGTTAAAATGGCATTTACTAACTTATCCCAGACAAATTGAGAGGAATTTTATGATCTTATCAATGTGAAGTTTAAAAATAAGTCTACAGGTATACCTCGAGTTATGTCATTCCCGATTATACGTCGTTTGTCAAAAAAGTATACGGAAAAACAAAAATCAAGTTTAAGTCATTTTATTCAACTTTACATCTGTCCGCCACAAATACTGAAGTCATAATATCACTAGAAAAATGTTTAAAGAACATAAAATCATATTATAATATATACATTTACAAGTATATACTGTATTTACAGTACACGCATTCATAAATTTAAATTACTTTTTTCTGTACTATATTAAAAACTAAAATTTATTTGTTTGTAAGCTTAAAATAGATCCTTATTAACCATATATTATTAAAAATGCATTAATAAATAAAATACAGAACGGGAATTGGTAATTTATGATTTAGCCTAGTGGTAACTAGATTCGGAGACAAGTAAATTCGACTTAAGTCATTCTCCTGGAACCAATTACTGACGTAAGGCGAGGTATACCTGTATAGTCAAAAATTATTCCCAGGTCACTGTACAAGTCAACAAATTTAATCATTTGCTTATTTATATTAAAAATGTGAGGGGAGGATTACAGATCAATGAAAAACACATCACTACTGTTTTCTGAATATTGATTTTCAAAGTTACCTTACTAAAAGCAGAAGCTAAAATGTTGAGATCTGTTTGTAATATCAGAGGGTCATAGTTTAAAGCTTTATGTCATCAGCATATGCAATTGTTTTGTATTTAATATTAGTAAAAGAAGAATTTCAATACATACTAAAAAGAAAGGAGAAAATTCTAGGAACTCAAAATTAGCAATTTTTTTATCTTACATTTATGGGACAAAAAGTAGTTATTAATCCTTGAATGATGAGCTGGGTTGATATTGAAATTTTCATGTAAAGTCTGTAAAAGGGTATAAGACAGCACGGAGTCAAATGCCTATGAAATATCTAAATATACAATGTAAGTTGCTTTTTTCTTTCAAAATTTTCTAAGATGGCACAAGTAGTTTCAAGTAAATTAGTGCTTGTAGAGTAGTCATGAATTCCAATGTGTTGATTTAGTAATAATTTTGATGAGAAGGGTGCATAAATTTTTTGATGACCCAAGTACATTTTAGGGATGAATCCCCAAAAAGTGCATGAGTCATCAGCAAAGATAGACATAATTTTATTAAAGTAATTTAAACAGGAAGTGTGACATTGTTTGTAAAACTGATTCTGAAGTATTCGGTGAATATACAGGTCACATGTATTGCCACTATGTTTACTTTCAATAAATGCTGTTAAAATATTTATATACAGTAAAATGTCATTTATGAATATAAACTACTAGCAGACCCTGCCACGCGTTGTTATGGCTCAAAACGTATCTATTATAAATGTATAACACTTCCCCCGTGGGGAGAAATTTTTTGAAAAATTTCTTAAGTGTACATTCTCTTGACGTACCCTATTATATAAATTATTAATTAAAACGCAATCAAAAACGCAAAAACCCACATCTAAAATAATATAATAGAAGCCAAGTTCTTCACGGTAAGCCTTAATTCTGTCTCTCTCCCCCGCAGGGGAATATCGAAAAAATCCCTTCTTAGTGTACATTCTGTTGACGTACCCTATTAAAACGCAATCAAAAACGCAAAAACCCGCATCTAAAATAGTATAAATAGAAGCAGAGTTCTTTACTGTAAGCCTTAATCCTGTCCATCTCCCCCCAGTGGGGGGAATTTTGACATGTATATTATATAAAAACACATGCGTATTCGAATGCAGCATTGTGTCAAAATTTCAAAGGAATCGGTAGAAACAAACGAACATTACATTTTTATTTATATAGATAGATAGAAGATGATCTGCTTTAGTTCATTTTCACAGAAAAGCAAACTTAGGGTGTCATACTCGTAGCCCCATCTGTTGGACATAAAAGCCTTAACCTAGATTATATATTTTAATTTATATGAATGTTTAACGGAATAATATATAGCCTATGTCCACCCTGAGGTTCCATTCTAAATATTGGTGAAAGAATTTTTGAAATTGGATGAGTAGTTTCGGAGATTACCTGCTGCAAACAAACTTACATACATACAAACATTACCTCTTTATAATATTTGTATAGATTGAATGATCCTATACATGAACCTGTTTCCAGTTTTAGTTATTTGTTTATTTTTTGATAGAATTTCAATATGTGGAGTATGAGAGTACATAACAGTAAAAAGAGTAACAACTTGTATTAGGTTCATGATCATGCATGAAAAAAAGTAAGATTCAAAGCCAAGAGCTTACAACTATCAACATGGAAGAGAACATGGAAAAAAATTAAAATTTGTGCAGAAAATAAAGGAGAAAATACATACAGTGCTACACAAAAATATAAGTTCAAGTAATGTGTTTAGACTGTAAATGAATAAATTGTTTAAATGAAGTAGTAACATATAAAAATAGTCAATTATTTTACTAATAATCAAACTTGAGAAATAGAGTTGAAGAAGCAAGTCTAGCAGCACATTTGATTTTACTTGCTGACAATTTAGATTAAGTAGCAAGTAAACAAATCTTTCGTCATGAGATGATAAACAACATTTTCTTCCAGGGCATTTTTTAGCGGCTCCATCAATTCAACATTTTATAACATTAGCTACAACACATTGAGAACAGCTAACTGCAATAACAATTTCCTAGTGGGTTGCTCCACTGCCATAAAATCTACAAATCTGTCAAGTTTCAGGATCTCTGAGTTGGCATCCACTTGGCATTGTTTCTTGTTCTCTCAATGATTATTACAAGTAATGTATCTCTTTGTACACTATGTGAAAATGTTTGATGTAACATCATTTGCATACTTTGTCCCATGATTGTGCATGAAATTTACACTGAATTTATAATTTTGTCTATGTAAAATTTTAATTTTTTTTTTACTACTTTGTTTTCAAATAATTTGTGAGTATAAAACTATTTAATATAATAAAACAAATAGATATAATAGATTATTTTTGATTGTTATCATTTCATTTAAACAATTTACTCATTTACAGTCTAAAAATATTATTACACTTATATTTTTGTCTAGCACTGTATTACTTCTGAATATCATGCATAGGAATTCTATGGCCACTGTATACTTTTCTAATTATATCAAATTTAATGATTAATCAGGAAGACTATAAAACTTTTTTAATAATGATGGTCTTCATAAAATCTTCCAATGCATCTAAATAGAAACTAAATGACTATATATTATGTATTTCCTGACATTTCCTGATGAAGGCCGATAAATTCAGTGGCCGAAAACGTTTGACATGTATTTTTGATGTTTATTTGCTGGAAATTTTGAATTTAGGTGTGAGTTGTGAATATTACAATTCCAGTTTTTGGTGAGAGTGTATTTATTATATATTATGTAATTTTTACAAATATATTAAACCAATTGAAATTTTCTAATTTAATCAATCTTAGTATATCATTAAAAAATCAATTAGAAATAATGTTAAACAGTGTTCAATACAGTCATCTTAATTAATTCTTTAAATTCAATTTCACTCTTACCATCATCATCATAATCTTCATCTTCACTATCACTTATATGAACAGAGACTTGGGTACCAGGATTATTGGTCCATTCAAAATATAATCCAAATCCAATATCATAATTGTCTGTTGCAAATTCCCAAAAAATGCAGCTGCTATCGGATCTGGTGGGAACACGAACAGTCATTGTCTCACCATGTCCAACTTTTACTATTCCATCACCGCCTTCTTTACGTAATAGTTCTTTAAATCCTTGAATATCTTTACGACTCCACATAGATACAGATGCAATTGGCGATACTTCTGACAAATAACAATTTGCTTAAAGTTATTGAGACTCATTAAATACATTTAAAATTAGAAATGTAACTAATTCCAAGGATTAATTATTATTAAAATTACGAGTAAATTTAATCTTTATGTATTTTCTTAGCCTAATGTTGCCGTTGAGAACGAATCACACAGGAACACTTTTAGTGGAAGAAGGTTGGTTTATTGGTAGGAACAGATATGCATTTCTTGCTTAATGTCCCTCTTCAGTCCTATTATAACAGATTTATCAGCCAAATTGATTACAGATTTATTGAATGCATTGAAATATTTAGATTTATGCAATAAAAGGTTTATACAAATACAAAGGTTTATACAATAAAACATAAATACCTGAGATTATAGTGACAGTTAAAACAACATGACTCATGAGAAGACAAAGGTGAAAAAAGGGGAGAAAAATGGAGCTAAAAATCTTTTAGTTCCACCCTTAAATGCATTAGAACAGTATAGCAACATATGCTAGAATAAAAAAGAGGGTAAACTTAAATCTACAATTAAGTACAATTAAGAGGAGGAATTTTTATAAAATTAATAAATGGAATACGTGTAGGATGCGAAATAATTCTGATGAAGTGTACAGAAAAACATAGACTAGATAGGAGTAGATAGTAGTCTAATGAGTATAAGAGTGGAACTAAAAGATTTTTAGCTCCATTTTTCTCCCCTTTTTTCACCTTTGTCTTCTCATGAGTCATGTTGTTTTAACTGTCACTATAATCTCAGGTATTTATGTTTTATTGTATAAACCTTTGTATTTGTATTTGTATAAACCTTTTATTGCATAAATCTAAATATTTCAATGCATTCGATAAATCTGTAATCAATTTGGCTGATAAATCTGTTATAATAGGACTGAAGAGGGACATTAAGCACGAAATGCATATCTATTCCTACCAATAAACCAACCTTCTTCCACTAAAAGTGTTCCTGTGTGATTCGTCCTCAACGGCAACATTATGCTAAGAAAACACATAGAGTAAGGAGAACAAGAAACAACCAAAATTTAATCTTATTTATTAAAAAACATGTATATAAACACTTCATTAATCTGTTTAATATACACAATACTGAAGTGATAATCCTTACAAACTTGCATGGTAAAATGATGATGACAACAATGATTCTTACAAAACTGATAAAGCATTTATTGAATAGAATATATATTAACAAAAGTATAAAAATAAAGTTATTCATTAATAATTTTAATTTCAGCATTTTCTACTAACATTACATAACATTAATTTTTCATATAAAATATATAAAAGATTAGAAATTTTGGTAATTATAAATATAGTATGGCTTTATGAAATCTTACTTTATGCAGTTTTAAAATAACAAAGTGGCTATTTATACATAAATAGCCAATTGTGTGTACATACTGTAACTCTTTTAAAGCCATGACGTAAAGATGACAGTTTTAATGTTATTTATAATTTAGGATATTCTAAATTTCGATTATCAATATCCTAATTATGATATCAATTATCGAGAAATGAGAATTAGAAATAATGGCATTGAGGAAAATCTTGATAGCAAAATATCAAAATCTTATAATACATCGGTGGAAACATGTTCTTGTTCATTTTGGAATTCTTTTAGTGCACCAAGTCGTCATATTCTTATGATAAGAAAATATAATAATTTGGACATATTTTCAAAAACTTGCTATCATGCAAGATATATTATTTCAATTGAAAATGCACTAAATATGGATACAGATGATGTAAATGTAGATATCGACAATCATATTGAAGATGAAACTTTTACTGATGATTTTGATTGTCCCAACGAAATATTATCAGATAGGGAAAAATTTAATATGGCACTGACAATAACTAAAAATATTGCAGATATTTTGTCTAATTATGGAACACAAGCCTTCAATAAATATGTAGAGGAATTAAAAGTAATAGAAAGCAATGCAAGAAATGGAATTTCTCTTTCTGAACATGAGAGTAGTGGGCTTAGTACAATTGAACCAGAAGAACCTGAAGAACAAATTCGGTCTAATAACGAGCCCTGCTCAAATCAATCAAATAAAAATGTAAAATTCAAAACTAAAATTAAATCCAAAGGACATCCGAAGAGAAAGACTAAGCAGACCACTTTTTACGAAAAAAAATTAAAATACAGAATAAAAAATAATATTTTATTTCACTTTATTGGTACCAATTACCAATCTTTTACACTTAATTACACTTTACCAATCTACTTTACAATTCAATACAATTCTACTTACCAATCCACTTAATTACACATCAATTACACTTTACCAATCTACTTTAAATTTCATTACCTGTATTTCACTGATTTAATGATATTTCATAGTTTATTGATTACTTTATTGAACAACATTGTAACTGAACTTTAATAAATAAAACTATAATTATTTATAATTATATATTTATAATTGTGTAGTTATTATCAAAATAGTAATTGTAATAACAGCACATACAGTCAGTATCCGGCCAGAATATAGGAACATACGGTCAGTATGTATAAATAGCCAATGGAGTATACATACTGTATACTTCATTGGCTATTTATAAATTGGCTATGGAGGACATGGCTATTGGAGTATAAATAGCCATGTCCTTAACATAATGCACCCTCCTCTTTCATAATATAAATGATGATGATAAATAAATCTTATTATGTGCTAATATACACGATTATCCAAAACTTAACCAAAGGTATTAAAGAACTGATTACTGCAGTAATACATTAGAATGTTTCATCTTCAATTATTTTTTGTAAATTTTGTTTAAAAAATTTTCCTATTTTAAAATGTTTAATAAATTATTGTTCCATTCTATGTATATGTACAGAATGGCCAATAATCTGTTAACACTGATCTGTTAATTACTGATACATTCAGCCCTTACTGAATATATCAGTTCTCATCATATTATTGACGTTAAGTAATGTGAGACTCAGACAACACTCCAGATAATTATTGTTTATTCCCATTCAGAGTTCTGTGATTTTAGTTGGTTCCAAAGTTTAGATAAATTCAATGGGTTGATAATAGGAAAGGCATCTTATAATAAAATGTATGACAAACTGATTGTCCTGTCTAGAAATAAGCATCAGAAATCCTATAATATACAATAATAATATGTTAAAGAAGCAAAAGATAAGTTTATGCAGAGTTTTTAATTCTGCATAAACTTATCTTTTGCTTCTTTAACCCAAATCAAACTAATTTTCTTGGAGAAAAACTTTTTTGAAAATTCTTTTTTATATTATACAAGTAATTTTTAACTAAATTTTTCAAGAAAATATTTTTTTCGTATATATATATATATAACAGGTAAATTTTTGTTACAAATTTTATTTTATTTTCATTAACTGAGCCATTCACAGGTAAAATCAATTAACTCCATTCATAGGTTCTTCATATAATTGTTAATATTTTTACATTTTTCACATAACTAATTTTATATATTAAATCAAAGCTACACTTTAATGTAATGACATATAAAAATACATTCTACATTGTTTATTTAAATTTAAAGTTTAAAAAATAATGAATATTATCAATTTCTCTACTTTTTGTTTTGTGGAGTTAATCAATTTGGAAAGTGAGAGGTAAATAGTAGTAACTGTTACTACTATTTATGTATTCACAGAATGCAGTTTTCCAAATATTTAAAAAATATATTTCTATAGGAGGTCTTAATTTATGTAAATTTTTATTAAATATATGCTCGAAGAATGCAGTCATTTATAAATTAAAATTGTCTTGAAATTAATCTCCATTAAAAATAGAAAAAATAAGAGTATTTATTAGACGAATGATTATTATGCTAGCATTTAAATATTTTTATAATCTGAGTAATTTATTAATTTATATAATGTAAATTCATTCAACTTATTTTTTGAACATTTTTTATTTTCATTAATTAGTATATTAAATAATGATTGCTTATGATTACTTATCTTTACACACAGGCTGTCAATGAAAATTTATTAATATGTATTAATTAGTTAGTTCATTAGGTTAATTCATTATATCAGTTAATTGTTAGCAATTAGATGGAAGTCATTTTTTGATAATTTACAGTAAATTTTTATAAGATTTTCATTAAAAACTTTTGCATAAAGTTTATTGATATAGAACTGATTGAAGAGTGTATATGCATTAATATAAATAATAATAGAAAAGCAATTTCAAAATTATATTAAATGTCATTCCAGCAGAAAACAAATGCAATATTCTTTGATGCATATGATTCTTGTAAATATTGTAATTATTAATAAAATGTTTATTACATATTAAGTTTTATGTTATTACTCTTAATGTCTGTAAGGATTATTATAATCTGAAAAGGTCATCTTAATGTCTGTAATGAATAAAGTTTTTAACTCTCTGCATTACAATCTGGGTCCTTCAGAACAGCAGGCTTAGGCCATTACTATCTCAGCCATCCAGTGATTAATATTAAGGTATTATAGACATTAAGTTACAACAAAATGAAAATACTCTTTTAAATTACCTGTTTCAAAATCTTCATTCTCAAAAAAAGTATTTTCTGCTTCATTGTCATAATATTCTGCACTTCTGTTGTTAGTCATTGTAATTTTTAAAGCAATAAATTCTGAAATTAAATACAGAATAACATTAATATAGAATTATTCACAAACATTCTTTAACATTTCAAATGTTATAAACTGTAAATATATTGTGTATCTTTGATTAATCTCAATAATAATATCAGTCTAAAAATGCATGTTTTACTGTTACCAAATAAAACTAGATAATAGCAAGATAAGCATGGTCAACTGGGCAATGGGCAATATTCAACTGGGCTATCGCCAAGTGCATATGGGACATCTGGGCAACAAAATAATAGAACACCAACAGACAAATAATTGACATAAAAATTTTTTATTGTTTTCTGTATTAAAATCCCTAATCTTTTTTATTGATTTTACTACCCAGTACATTTAAATATTTTTTTGAGGAAGGAGTTAAAAGAACAATCTAAATATATAATATGGAAAACCTTGCTTATAATTAAGTTCATTTTTATTCTAATTTTATTTAGAATTACAAAATTGTATAGAAGTTTTATTGAAATTTCCTATGCAAAAAATGAGTCAGCTAGTTAATATCTTCATTTATATCATATGTCAAAATTTGTAGAATCATTTAAAAATCAGATGGTTAAAGAAAGTGGCCCAAAAATGATTTTAAAATGAAAAGGTATAATTGTATGATATTAAAATAAAGAAAAAATAGATTTTAATGTATTTATTAATAATTAGCAATATATATATATATATATATGCATTAAAACACAAAATAGTATTTGAAATTGAAAACAAAATTTTTATTTTAAATTTATTAATTCATATTATAGTTATATGCAATACCACATAAATATTCTATTATATTTCTCCCACCATAATTTAAAACTTTTCTCAAAACCCTTTGGTCGCTTCATTGTAACATCTACATTTATGCTGATGTTGATAACCTGCTATTGCTCTTTCATAATCATCATCATATACTTTAAAAATTTTTCATAGTCCATTCATAAAAATCCATAAATTTGGATGACTTGTGATTTATATTTATGCTTATTTTACAATATTTACAAAAACGATCTGCCAAACTGTATGGTTGCTAGGCATGCAAAACTTTTTAATTTTGTCACCCAACTAACCATCACCTATTTGACTATCAGTCAGTTGATCATTGCTCAGAAATGTATCTCATACATATGAATATATTTATATCTACTTAAGAAATTAAATACCAAGTTAAATCTAAATTCATGGAAATGATATGGATGTTCAGAAATCTACACTAAAATAAATACAGTAGAGCGTCGTTTATCCAAATCAATTGGGGACTGGGGTTGTTCGGATAACTTATTTTTCGGATAACCAATTATGTACAAAAAAATATATTAATTTATCCCGTGTTGAAATTTTTCTCCGTTGCGTGTCGCTTCACGTTGAATTTTCGTCGATGTTAAGCCTAACGAAGACTATTGTATCGTTAAAAATTATTTTTTTATTTTGTACAAACAAAATAAATATATTGAAAAATATAAAAACAATAATAAATTATACTTCAGAAGTTAATTTAGTATCAAAAACGTAAAATATTTGAGTAGCCGAAGACATAGCCAAAGATTACAGTGCCACAGCACTGGCGAAAATTTAAATTTGTTGACTGGAATTAATTCGGATAACCGATGTTTCGGATAACCGACCTTCGGATAAACGACGCTCTACTGTAACAGTGTATCTTTATATTACTGATTTCAAGAAAAATAAAAGTTATGAGATTACTCATATTCAAAAAAATATAAAATACTTTTTATTCAAGAAAACACACTCACATTTAACTGAATTAACCTTTTAAAATTATTTAATAGTTCAGAATAATATTTTAACCGTATCATTTTTACCACAAGAATTCGTTCTATGATATTATCAAGATATGCAAAACATATAAAAAACTAATTCAATCAGTGTATTTATTACACTGATTGAATTAGTTTTTTGTTTGCTTAGAATTTAAAATAGAATGAAATGAAAGATTGTGAAACATATTCTTTTTATAATGCTACTCAATAATCTTAATAATCATATCTTTTTTTTTGTTTTTTTTTTGTAAAAAATGGCACTAAGATAAATTTAAACTATACCACATACTTATCTAAAGTATATTAATAAGTTTGTTAATTTTTCCATCATGTAGACACTAAGAGGGGCATTTTCAGCCTATCATGGGTTCAGTCAGGCCTACAATGAGACAGCTTAGTGATGAGGAGCAAAGCCCATTATAATCAGATCAAACCAGGGTACCTCAGAGTGGCTGGCTGATGCCTTTACTACTTTAGCCACTCAATCGTTTATTAATGAGTTATTAAAATACTGATGTGAAAAACAGGACTTCAACATAAACAATCTAATGTCAAACATCAACTTTGTCAACTTTCACACCACCTGGTAGTATATCTCCTGTTAAGTTCTCAGCATCAATAAAGACTCTTTCACACAACCTTCTGACCTGTTGTCCCAATTTTGTCATTTCAATATAACAACTAGCTACCAACTATTGGCAGTCATCACCAGTCCCTATAGGATTAAAGTCATCAAAATTTTCCTGTGTTTTCCTATCGGATCTTCATGTTACCCTAAACTATTCCTAGAAGAACTTTCCCAGATTGATCCAGAGCTTTCCTGATCCAGACCTGTCCCAAATGATCCAAATCCGCACAACCTCAAGACCCTACACCTCCAAGTCCTCATGAAATCCAAATCAAGAAGCATCACCATTAATGCAGGTGTTTTCCAACTCGCAAACAATTGTAAACTTTCTCTCTTGCGACCGCTAGATATAACACAATATATATTGTATACTGTATCATGTACTCCTTTTTGTTGAAGTTAAATGGTTATTTAGTTGTTAACTTTAGTGTCTGAGTACTTCCATTGGGCTGTCTCTTAGTCTTTATCCAGAACCTGATGACTTACTCAACCCATGTGACAGACACTCATGTGACCTACTTTTTAACCCAAACTAAACTTGCCGTTGCGGCTCCTGTGTCAACTGAGACACAGTGGTGTCAGTCCTGACAAGGCATCAAAGAGGTGCAACCCTCCAGTCATACCTAGACAAATTATTATGTTAATTTACAATAACTTTTTAAAACAAATTTTCATACTATATTAATTATACTTTGCAGATATAAATAAATAAATAAAATAATGTTACTTATAATTAAGTTTAAATTTATTTTAGGCATTTTGCAAGAGAAATTATACTGGTATTTTAAAAATTACATAATATGACAAGTAACAGAGTAATTTACATTATGAAATATTATTAACATGCATTATAAAATATTTTAAATTTCACAAATGTGCCATAATTAAAATTAACATACAGTGGTGCCTCGTATAACGTATGCCTCGAATAACGGACTTTCTGTTTGACCGTTACGTGACTCGAGCAACGGACTTGCTGCGAACAACGGACTTTCCGTTCAGCAGTTACGTGAGACGAACAATGGACTTTCTTCGAACAAGTGCGAATGATGTTTCCACTCTTTTGCCGTTGCCAATGACAATCTGCTATTTTTAGGATATATTAGTATTATTAGAATGTATTATTAGTATATCTGAAGTAGAAATGTAATGTAATATATGTTGATGATTTAAATAAACATTAAATGTAATGTAATA